GCCTTGTCATTTAATACCTGTGCGATCTAGGACAAATTACTTAACCTCTCTGAATCTCAACTGCCTTGTGTGTAAAAAAGTGACAATACTTTGTACGTCAGTGGGTGGCTGTGAGGATCAAATGACAGAATAGATGTGTAAGCATGCTGTATTCTAGAAAGTACCATATACATTTAAAGTATTATTAGTATCACTTTTATGAAAGCTTGACAAGCAGACCCCATCATATGATGAACATAAGAACAGCTCAAAGGATGATCAGGGCATAAAGGAATTTGGATTTTTGGAGTATCTTGCCCCAAAGATTCACTCTCCTTAACACTGTTTATAGAAATCAAAAGGCCCCTTCAGAGTTCTGGGTTCCTGGCTTTCATACGATTTCATTCCATTCTCACAGCTTGTTCTTTTTGGTTAAAATGCCAATCAGACCTGAGGACTACCTTCCATTTCTGAATTCTCAAGTTGGATTTAGGGGTGGGGAAATCCACTCATACTCATAGGGGAAACTCTCAAAACCAAAATAAACACAAAACCACACAAAAACGCCCTCTACAAGGCCTTTATTTGTGTTGAGATCACATCTCAGGGTGAGGTTTCTGGGTGGTACAGAGCCCTATTTCCTGGTAATCCACCCTGCAGAAGGCACTTCTACAGGCACGTTGTGTGTTACCCGGTACTGAGGGGCGGTCAGCCCCAGCGTGGCTTCCATCTACGTAAATACAGAGAAACACCATCCACCCACACCACCCCTACCTACCCACATCAGCGGGCCTTTCTGTGGTGAATTTACAACACACACCGGGATGGTATTCACTCTGCTGAGGCAGAGAGCTTACCCCTTGGGGGTGACAGGGATGGGAAAGGCTCCCCAGCAGAAATGGAGTTTCTGCTGGGCCTCGAAGGATGAGCAGGAAGTCCATGGGCAGAGAAAAAAAAGAGCAGCAGCTTCCTGGATGGGAACAGCACGAGCAGAGGAGGAGAGAGGCCAGAACATGTCTCTGTCGCCTTGTTGCCTACAGCTAGTGTTTTGGAGTGGGGAGAGGTGAATGAGGCCAGAATCAGGGCTAAGGCAGTATAAGAAAGACCTGAATGCCACACTGAGAACAGGTTCATTTATCCTCTGGGTGTCGCTTCCATCTATGTAAAATACACGGAGTCTCACTGTGGCCATCTCCCAGTAGACAGTGGGCCCTTGGAAGGCAGGTACCATATCACACTGACGTTTGTCAGTCTATCCCCTGGCATACAATAGTCCCTCAAGAAATGTTCACATCACTGAATTAAAATCTGCCTGCAATCTCTTTTGCCTTTTCCAGATGACATGAAAGGGCCTTTGCCATCCCTGCGTGCATTTGTCTTACTAAGGCATTCATTCATTCATTCACTCACTCACTCAACACTAAGTAACTCATGTGTCAGGCATTGTACCAGATACAAGCAGCAGAAGGTGATTCACAGTGATAAATGCTCTCAGCAGAAGTCTGTACAAAGGGCACTAGAAGCAGAGAGGCAGGTTAGCTCTCAGTTATGCTTTGGGAGGTGACAGGGATGAGAAAGGCTTCCCAGGAGAAACGGCATTTCTGCTGGGCCTGGAAGGATGAGCAGCAAGTCCACAGGTAGAGAAAGAAGAAAAGCAGCAGTTTCCTGGATGGGAACAGCATGAGCAGAGGAGGAGAGAGGCCAGAATATGTCTCTGTCGTCTTGTTGCCTAGAGCTAGTGTTTTGGAGTGGGGAAGGGTGGATAAGGCCAGGATCAGGGCTAAGGCAGCATAAGAGAGACCTGAATGCCACGCTGAGAACGCGCTCATTTATCCTACGGGTGACAGGATCTATCACAGATTTCTAGGCAACAGCATGCCACGATCTATTTTACCAAGACTGCTTATCATACATTAATTTGTCAATTCATCTGCTCTCTGCCACAAGGCTTGGGGCATGTTGTAAGCAGGGACAGAGCCTCATCGTCCCTAGCACAATGGCTGAACACAGGAGGAGAGGCTGTTCATGTCCAAAGGCAGGCCAGAGAGCTCCTCCATCACCTGCTCCTTCAAGCTGGAAGGTGAGTGTGGAGAACAGGTCATGGGTAGAGGCATGGAGACAACATGGTGGCTGTGCTCATGGGGCGGCAAGCCTAGCCTGACTCTCTTGGTGAGCAGTAACAGATACAAGAGTTGAGGAAAGCAGAGGCGGCTCATGGAGAATGAAAATCAGGACGAAAAATGTTTTTACATAAAATGAATTGTATATGGTGGGAAGCAACATGGAACCAAGAAGCCCCCTCGAAGCTATCAGCTGGACCTTCTGTATGTCCCCTCGAGCTGGCGGAAAGTTCCAGCCAGGGGGCACACGTACCCACATTCTGGCTCCAGGAAGTGTCTCCACAATCATGAGGTAATCCCACTGAATTCCAGCTGCTCATTGCTTTCTGAAGTTGCCCAGCTTCAGTGCCTGGGCCAAGGAGTCAGAGGCTCAGAGTCCACACAACTCTAAGGATACGAGGCCGAGGTGGGGGTTAACAGCATCCTCACCCTACATGCATCCTGGAGAAACCCAGACTGTCTCCAGGTTGTGGAAAATGTCCAGACTGAGCCCAGGAGCCAGACAAGATCCCCCATCAGCAGCCCCACCTAGCAACCAACCTCAGCTCTCTGCTGGGCAATTTAGAATGGCACTAGTCAGGTTCTTTTCCTAGTCTATTGCAGCCCAAAACACTGTAACAAGAGTTGTGTTTTCTTTTCCTCTGTAGTGGGAAAGGAAATAGCAATACCAGCTACTATCACGGAGCACTTATTCGGTATTCAGCACTTAATGCTGCTTCTCTCTCACCCCTACAACAACTCTGCCAGGCAGGTATTATTATTCGCATGGAAGCTGAAAAACTGAGATTCAGTCGTATCCTGGTACACGGTAGAGTGATCAAACCCTGACCTGACTAACTCCAAGCCAGCGCTCCCCCACCACCGCGAGCTGCCATGGAAGCAAACTAAACACCAGGAACCTGCCGTAGGCCTCAGGACCTGAGAGACTCCACGACTCCTCCTCCCTCTACCAGACCTGTTAGAGAAAAGACAAAGGAGCCCATTTTGAGGCAGGTCTTCTGGAGCCAACAAAGACACAGAAAACAACAAGTTAATTGTTGTTTTGATTGATTGCCAGGATGGAGACACAGGTGCAATCCAGGAGACCATTTCCTGCTTGGTGTATTACTGTGCTGAGGTTCAAAGGCCTGCCCAGGCCACACCCTCCTTGAAGACCCCAACTTTTACCACATGACACCTGAGTGAAACTCTGCAAGATGTCTTCTGTTGAAGGAATCCAAAATACTGTGGCAGTCGGCATAAGGAAGGGGGACCACGCTGAGGGAACTCACCGTAGGTCACTCCACAGGGCACAGTAAGAGCTGGGATGGGATCCACGCGTGGGAACTGAGCCCACGCCCTGCCACAGCTGCTGTGAGACCATAGGCGTGCCATGCCTTCTCTGGGCCAGTCCCCCAAGCCAGAATTTGGGTCTCATCTTGGACTCTGCTTTCCCAGTCATCTCCCACATCTTATCGGGCACCTAATCAATCCCCAGATCAACCTCCATCACAGGTCTTGAATCCGTCCCCTCCTCAAATTAGTTTGGCACTTGCCACATCTCGCTCAGATTATTGCACCAGTCTCCTAGCTGGGCCCCCAGCCTCCAGGCTGTCCCCCTTCTATCCATCCTCCCAGCCAGAGGGATCCTTCTGAAACACACGTCTGCTCATCTCACCTCCCTGCTCACCTGGCCCCCTGTATCCCTCAGGGTAAAGTTTGACCTCCTTGGTTTAGCTCCCATGCCCTTGTGTCTGCCTCCTGCTCTCCTCCTGGCTTCTTCTCCAGCCATTCAGCACATTTGTCCTTTGTCTGTACTTCCCTGAATACATTGTGCTATTTCAGGACTATGTACACAGCTAGCCTCTCTTCCTTAGAAGACCCTTCCCCTCTGATACCCTTGCCAGTCCTTCAAAACTGAACTCAAACATCACCTTTTCCAGGAGGCCCTCTCGGATTCCCCAGCCTGACTTAGATGCCCTCTCCTTTAGGCTTCCCAGCCCTCTTGTACCTCCCTCTATCACAGCACTTAGAGTTGTTATCTTTCTTTTCTGTCTCTTGCACTAAGTTCTCTGGAAAAGAGGAACTAAGCCCAGACAGGGCCTCAGTTGATTTTGTATCTGTAGAACACCCAGGCACATAGCACAGTGCTTGAAACACCACAGGAATTTCTGGAGAGAAAAATGAGCAGGTCTCCTCCCTGGTAAACAGGGCGCTCTGATCACGGGTTAGAGCATCTTGATGCTTTAGGTGTCTGTAACGGCTCATCAGTCTTTGCAATGGAGCTCAGTCACTACGGGAACCGATCTTACTTTGACCACGCTCTTGCTATATCAAGTCCTATGTGGTCACAGTGAACTTTCTTGACCCCGAATATCCGTTACCACAAACGATCAGCGGCCCCTGGAGGCAGTTTTATGGCCACGGTATGGGGCGGGTTGGGAGAGGGCAGCCAGCGGTCCCTGGTCAAGGGTTGCTGGACGCTGTGCTGCGCTGGGTCCGGAGAGCCAGCCAACCTCAGCGGTCCTCCTCTGAACACTTCTGTTTCTGCCTGCTCAGCAGTTTGCCCTTGGTTACTGAAAAGTTCAGTCTTGTGAAATGTGCTTGGTTTCAAGTTTCCTGTCATTGGTCTACTTATTCAAAAATTACACCCCACCTGCTCCCTGAAAGATAAGATACTTGTGGTCTGATTAAGAAGCTTCTTGCAGTCAGCCCCTATGTGAAGAAAACCTGATATGTGAAATGAAACTGAGGAAGTGGACACTTTCCGTGCCATCATTTCTTTCCCAGCAGCTCAGAGTTTTCAACTGTAAGACGAGGGAGGAGGGCCAAGTGGGCACTGACTCCTCCTGGCAGTGATATCGGGAAAGGCTGGGCCCACTCTTCCTAAACTGATTCTTTTCCCTTGCCCCCCTCACTGACCTTGAGATCGAAGTGAGCAATTTTCTTGGCGTGAAGGTAGTTCACCCCATCCAGGATCTGCTTAATGAAGCTGGTGGCCTCCTCCTCACTCAGCGACTCCTTCTGTGCCAGGAAGTCGAAGAGCTCCCCGCCGGACACTCTGCAAGACACCAGTGGGGAGGGCTCAGGCCCAGTGGGCCCTATGTGTCATGAGGCCAGGCCAATGGGTGCGGCTCCTGAAACTGCCCCCCAGGCACCCTGTGCGGCAGAGTCCCCTCGCCCACTTCTGGGGCTTTGTCCAGCCAGCACCAAGAATTGTCTTTGCCTCTGTTTGCTGTGTTCTTCCCTTTGGACCACAAGGGCAGGAATTATCCTTAGGGTGTCACCAGAAGGGCCGCCTCACACTCCAGGCCCGGGCCCCTGGTTGCCCTGGTGTTACCTGCTCCCACCTCCTCATATGACTGAGGTGGCAGAGGACAGAAACAAGTGCTGTGGGACGACAAAGACGGACATCTGCTGGGCCAGAAACTGGACACCTAGGTTCCAGTCCAGCCCTGCCACCGACCTCGGACAACTCATTTCCCCTCCCCAGGCAGGCCTCAGCTCCCTCACCTGCAAAATGAGCAGACTGAGCCACACGGCTCCTAAAGCCCCTGTCTTTGATTTTATAAAAGATGGCCTCTTTGAAGGCTCAAGAGAGGTAGGCATGATCCCTAATTTAAACATAAAGACCCATTAATTATATTCATCTCTAAAAACTCTAAAATACTATTTTTGTCCTCACACTCTGCACTCTTGTACTCTATGGTTGATGTGACAGGAATGGAGACCCACAGAGCAAAAAGAATCTCCCCTACAAATATTGGTTTACAGTTTTATCTGAATTAGGGATTTTGGGTTGCCAGATAAAACAGAAGATTTTTATTTGCTAAATCTAGCAATCCTACTGGGCGTTTGTCCTCTGACAGAGGCTGGGGTATCCAGCCAGCATGTGCTTCTCTGGGGCTGGGACAGAGCCAAGAGCCACCCCAGGAAAAGATCTTAGGAAGGGATTTGGGCCAGGAGTCCAGGAACTCAGGATCACTCAGAGAACTTGCTTAAAATACAGATTCCCAGGTCCCACCACAGACTCTGCCAAATTAGATTCTCCAGCAGCAAGGCCCTGGAACCTGTATTTTTACAATAACAACAACATAATAATAGTAATTAACATACCTTGGACACTTCTCTGTGTATAATGTGTACTGTATGCACATTATTTCATTTAATCATCACAATACCTTATAAGCTAAGTACTATTATTTTCCTATTTCACAGTTGAAGAAACAAAGGCTCAGAGAGGTTAAATGACTTGCCCAAGGTCGCACAGCTAGTAAGTGGTAGAGGCAGGATTCAAACCCAGGCAGAATGACTCTCAACCACTCTGTCACACTGAGTGCCCTCAGATGATTCTTCTATGGCCAGAACAGCTTCTGTCTCAGTTTTGGGAAACACTCCTTGCCACCTAGTCCATCCTAAATAAAGAGCATCAAAATCTTCTTTTCTCCTCTCTTTAAAAATGTCCAGAAGCATACCCAGACCCACTAATCAATCTTAGCATCATGAAAAATAGAACAACTAGACACGAGGTGGAACAAGAAGTACAGAGCAACACCTATGAAGTATCACAACCTAAAAAATTGAAACTAAATCTGCTTGAGCCTCTTGTTCAGCGCTATCCAACAGAACTTTCTGCAGTAACGGAATTCTCTATATACGATGTCTAATACAGCAGCCACAGTCAGATGTGGCTACCGGGCATTTGAAATAGGGCGAGTGCAACTGAGGAACCGAATTTTAAATTTCATTTTATTTTAACTAAAAAACTGAAGGGGTGTGAAATATTTTCCACTAAATACAACTTTATTGTTCTGGTAGGATTGCATTTTACTTTAAACCATTGCATGGCACATGAGTTGAGATGTGCTGTAAGTGCAAAATACACACTGGGTTTTGAAGACTTAATGTGAAAGAAAGAATGTAAAATATCTCATTAGTGATTTTATATTGATTACATGTTAAAATGATAATATTTTGTATATACTGGGTTAAATAAAAAATATTATTAAAATTAATTCACCTATTTCTTTTTACTTCTTATTTAATGTGGCTACTAGAAAATCTAAAAGTGTGTATGTGGTTCGTATTATATTTCTATTGAACAGTGCCAATAGGAAGGGTATCTTAGATACTAGTAGTATCTAACTACTAGTTTACAGGAATTACAGGACATAGAGGATGAGTTCAATAATACCGTGAGGAAGGAATACACCAAATCCAGACTGTGAGACAATCACAGGACAAATGACCTAGTTTTTCCAAAAATCAATGGCATCAATAAAGAGCGGGAAGGAGAATTACTTTAGAATAAAAGAGCCATAAGAGACAAAAGAACCAAGTGCAGTATGTGGACCTCAATTGGATGCCAATTCAAATGAAATAACTGTAAAGAGCTATCTTTGGGCCCATCGGGAATATCACCGTGGACTGGAGAGTGGACAGCCGAGGCCTGGCTGGATAATTTCTTAGGAGTAATAAGCACATCATGGCCACAGTTTTAAAACGTCTCGTCAGTTTGAGATACATACTAAAGTATTTACACGTAAAATGACATGATGTCTGAGATTTGCTTTAAAATATTCCAGCAAACAAGCAAACAGTTGGAGTTAGGGGGGAATAGGAGTTTTATATAAAACAAGATGGGCAAAATGTTGATAACTTGAAGTTGGGTGATGGGCACATGAGGGTTCCTTACATTATTCTCTCTACTTTTGTATGTGTTTGAAATCCTCCACAACAAGAAGTTAATAGCAAACTTCCCGAGGAGGAGGCTCCTCATTGGAGAATGAGTCACCCTCTCACATAATGACCACCATCAGATGGAAGTTCTTCTGTAACAGATGAGGAAACCGAGGGCCACAGGAGGGGAAGCAGCCATGCAAGTTCTCCCAGCAAGGGAGTGCGTGGTAAAGACCAGCTCGCAGTCCATACTGTCTCCTCATACTAATGTGTGACTGGGTACAAGTTGCCCTAACTCTCTCAGCCATGTCTCTCAGACATTGGGGGTAACAGAATGTTTACATGCTAGGCTTGTTCTGAAGAGCAAATGAGCCAGTGCACCGAGCAGGGCACTCAGCACAGTGACTGGCACACGATAGCACTCCATCAGTGGGGGCCTCTGCTGTGGTGTTACTATTTGCTTGTTACATGTGGCTAGCACGGGCTGAGGTGGTGGGGAAGGTGCTGGGGATGTGGTGAGACTCGAGCAGGGCCAGGATGGAGGAAGCGGGGAAGGAAGACAGGTGAGACAGGCAGGGAAACAGCGCAAGCGAAGGCACAAAGATGGGGACAAGCGTGGGGCACGTATGTGGCATTAAGTCCCTGTGCACAGGCCGGCCTTGGAGGTGAGGTGAAGACTGGCTGGAATGCTGGTTCTGCCACTTACTAGCAAGTCACTCTCCACCTCAGTCTTTTCTCCTCTGTCCAATGGGTTAAAAATATCACCCTGAAGTAGATGGAGGAATGTCAGAAGTATGTGTTCCTGCTGGGATGTGAGCTTCTTGAGGGCAGGAACTCTAACTAGGTGCTCATCTTTACGTCATGTGTTCAGCAGATAATAGATGCTGAGTAAATATTTAGAGACAGAGAGAGAAGAGAAAAGAGGGAGGGGGAAAGTGAAAGGGTGTAGAGAGAGTGAGATAAGATGGCACATGAGGGGGTTGGCCCAGTGGCGTTGTGGTTAAGTTTGCATGCTCCGCTTCAGTGGCCCGGGGTTCATGAATTTGGATCCTGGGCATGGACCCACGCACTGCTTATCAAGCCATGGTGTGGCAGGTGTCCTACATATAAAGTAGAGGGAGAGTATTCTATATCATATAGAAGCGAAGCCGTGGCTTTTGCAAGAGACCTGTTTGGAGCCCTTTGAAAATTTTCAAATCCACGGTGCCCTCTCTGAAACACACAGGACCCAGCCCCCTTGTTTTTTATACTCCAAGCCCCTGCTGGGTCATGTGAGGCTATGACCTCGGGCACATCCTACCATTCCTACCTTAAATAGAATGCCACACAAATGTAAAGAATATCGTGATATTGTGGATGTGTCCCGTTACCCGAAGTCACTGATGGCAGGCCCAGGCTGGGTGAGGACTTTGGGGGACAGTAATCAGTCATTCTGTTTGAAGGTGTGATCTGGGCAGGAGACCAGGTGAGACATGGTCTCCTTTGGATGAAGAGGGGAACAGCCATGGTGGTCCTTAGAATCTCCCCTAGAGACTCAGAAAGGTGGGAGGCTCATGAGCCTGCTGAGGGAACTGTCCAAGCCCTGGAGACCCGGGCTGGGGACAGTCAGATCAATTCTCGGGCACCTCGTCTCAAGGCTATCAAGGAGCCCAGATTTCCCCCATAATGTAGTTTCTCTCAAGGGCTTCTCAGTCCCCAAGACTTCTGCCTGGAGCCAGTCCCCCTCTCCTCCCAAGCTTCGCTCCTCTCACATCCCAAACCTCTTTAGCTTAAAGATGAAAAGCAAAACCTAATAGCCGGGCCTCCTCTGCTCTCCTCCCAGAGTCCCCAGGATCAGACCTCTTCTGGCTGATCTCACCTTTGCCTCCTTCCTCCCTGTGGGTTGGCCTGCCTGCTAGAAATGCTTTTCAGAAGTCTTTCGGGAATGCGTGCTCCCACGACCTGCGTAGGCAGCGATTCAGGAAGGATCCTGCCGGAGCTGCTGGGGGCCAGGAGGCTGGACTCGTTTCAGGGAGCTGGGAAGCACTGCCACCACCCTGGAGTGCTCTGCCAGGCCAGTCTCCGGTATGCAACTGGCGGAGTATCGCTTTCCACTAGCTTGGAGTCAAGGAGGCCCCAGAATGGTCAAGGGCCTGGGATGGGAGGCCTGCCCAACCCTCCCAGGGCAGACGTACATTTTTCAGAGCAAGCTCCACATGTGACATGAGTTAATCTATTGAGATTTTGAAAATATCCTTTACACCATACAGAAGTCAACTTATACAGACAACTAAATCCTTCCCAACCCTGCCTCAACAGTCTTAACCAGAGGAGGTCCTGGACGGGGTAGTAACAGCCGAAAGGGACTTAAATCAGGGCTGGCGTGTCCTCCAAGTACTGGCCACTTTAGCAGAAAGCAGTAGGAAGCCCTGCACCAGACAACAGTTGCTGTTGAGAGGGGTAGTGAGGTAGATCCATCCATGAAACCTGCACATTTCAACTGAGCAGGTAGACAGTAATACCCAGGTTTAAATATTGGGCAAACCCACTAACCTATTACGACACAGTGAGGACCAAGAGGCCAAAAGCTCCTGATCAGCCCAACAGGGGTCACCAAGTCCAAACACAAAAGCCCATGAAAAGCCCTTCTCTCCCGCAAGGTCCTCTCTCTCAGATGCTGGTCACGCGTGGTTTAGGCACTGTCTTAGCAATCCCTAGCACTCCACAGTCAGGCACCCTGAGACAATGAGACAGCTTGAAAATAAAAGAGGAGACAGAGAAACTACGAACAGACAGAACTCAACAAACATAGCAGCTCAAGGGAGACACAGGAGCACCAGTGCGAATACTGACGTTATGAGTGGTGACAGCTCACAAGAAGAGGGCACATAACTGTTGGTTGACTGTGAGCCCTGCTGGGAGAAACAGGGACATCTCAAGAGCATCCCAGAACTCCTGGGGTTCTACAAACAGGGAGAAGCAGATAATTTCCCCAACAATTACAGAAATGCCAATTAAAATGACAACAAAGTACCATTTTATAACTATAAAGGTCAATAAATCATGAACCCTGTTTTAAAACAAATGACTCCAGTGGGAGACGGCCCCGTGGCCTAGTGGTTCAGTTCAGCATGCTCTGCTTTGGCGGCCTGGGTTCAGTTCCCCAGGAGCGGACTTATACCACTTGGCCACAGCCACGCTGTGGTGGTGACCCACACACAAAATAGAGGAAGATTGGCACAGATGTTAGTTCAGCACGAATCTCCCTCAAGCAAAAAGAGGAAGATTGTCAACAGATGTTAGCTCAGGGTGAATCTTCCTCAGAAAAACAAACAAAAAACCCAAACGACCCCAGGCTGGCAAGGCTATAGGCAAATAGGAACGATCCTATGTTGCAGGTGGTGCTGGGTAACCAACACTGTCCTCTTAAAGTGAGGCTATCAAGAGCCCTAAAAATGTCAGCCTAATCACCCATTCCTGAGGATATATCTAAAAAAGCTAGTTTAAAAGAAAAGGGGAAACTTATGGGAAGAAAGTTGTTTTATGGCAGTAAAATTTTTAAGGGTTAAAAGCTGGAAAATAAAAACCAAATGTCCAACAACAGGGAGAGACGGGTAATTCAACGCAACACGATACAGTCAGTTAAAAGGAAGAAAGCTATTTATGGAATTATGTTAAATAGGGGAAAAAGTAGGGCCGGCTCCGTGGCTTAGCGGTTAAGTGCGCGCGCTCTGATGCTGGCGGCCCGGGTTCGGATCCCGGGAGCGCCCCGAGGCACCACTTCTCCGTCCAACGTGAGGCCGAGTCCCACGTACAGCAACTAGAAGGATGTGAACCTATGACATACAACTATCTACTGGGGCTTTGGGGGGAAAAAACTGAATAAATAAAAAATCTTTAGGGGAAAAAGTAGAGGAGGAAACTGTACAAGTATAATGGTTGTATACAAATAGATAAAGACTGAGAGGAACCACAGGAAAACATAAATAGCTCTGTTTGGGTGGTAGGATTACAAATAATTTCTTTTCAGTTGCTGTGAAGTTTTTTTTTTGATAACAGACTTTTAAAGAACTGGCCTGGCCTTCCCAGCAAAGGTGGGCTTGTCACTCTGCTGGGAACCAGTGTGCCAACTGCTGACCCCTAGCCTTGGGACATGTCACACTTCAGGCTGTCTACACGGCTGGCTACATCTGTGGGAACCCACCAGGCTTGTCTGACAGGCAGGTGCATACACCAACTGGTCCAACTGGCTGAGAGTCCCTGGGAGAAACATAGAGGACACTGTGAGTTAGAGACGGGGAGAGCACGGGCGATTCTACGCATTTCAACATTGAAATGGATAATTTAAGAATCAAATCCAAGGGGCCGGCCCCGTGGCTTAGCGGTTAAGTGCATGTGCGCCGCTGCTGGCGGCCCGGGTTCGGATCCCAGGCGCACACCAACGCACCGCTTCTCCGGCCATGCTGACGCCAAGTCCCACATACAGCAACTAGAAGGATGTGCAGCTATGATGTACAACTATCTACTGGGGCTTTGAGGGAAAAAATAAGTAAACAAATAAAAATTATAACAACAACAAAAAAAAGAATCAAATCCAAGAATATGCAAATACCCATCGGCCACACAAATCTATATCGTGGCAACATCAGAGCATAGTTCTCAAATTAGAATGGTCTCAAATGTCAGGTGGTCCACCCAACCTGCCGGCAGGTTAAGGGTGGCTGCCTGGTTTACAGGTGAGATCTGAAGCTCAGAGGGGTGAGGTGACTTGCCCAAGGTCACAAAGTCAGAGATTGCTGAGACAAATGCCACCACTCCTCTGCTAACTGGAGGAGGCATACATGCCTATGAGGCTCAGGACATTCCCAACACAGGTGCTTGACTGGACACAGCCACTGTGACTTGTGCCACAGCCCAACTCAAACTCTATTGTCTGCCAGAGCCCCACCTCCCCATTCCATGATGACACTTCCAGGAGGGACACCAGGTGGCCAACCAATCCCTGGGTCTTGGTGTCCTATCCAAATTCCATCAGACTGTGAAGTCTTCCCCAGGGAGGCCAGCATAAGGCCATCCCACCTCATGCTCATAGCTGTCTGCACAAGCAGTGTGGACTCAAGTCGTGGCCCCACCACTTCCTGGCTATAGGATCTTGTAAGTGACCTAGTCTCTCAGTGTTCTTGTCTGTAAAATGGGGATAATGAGAGTCTCTGTGTGATAGGATTGTTATGAGGATTAAATAAGGTAATAGAAGTACTCCGCACAGTGAATACAAAGTAACCTCTCCACATTAGTCGGACACTTCCCTCAACACAGTTTCTGTGAGGACCCAACAAGATGACAAACGTGAAGCACCTGGCAAATGGTTGGCTTATAGTAGAGCTCTCTAAATCATAGTTATTACCATAATAATAAAGGCATCAAACACAGCACAAACGCAGGGGATTGTTCCCAGGAAAGGGCTGGAGAAGGGCTTCCCAGAGCCCAGAGGATGTTTGTTCTTCCCTCCCTCATTGAACAGACCCCTCTCTGACAGCCTCCCCTGCACCCCATCCCATCCTCTGCCCCTTCTCATCCTCCCACATGCTGGCCAGCCAGGAAGTGACCCCAGTGTTAGCCATTTCTTCTCTTTGATCTCCAGGGTCCAATGAAAGCCAGACCTAGACCCTCACCCTCAGTCCCTGCTGCTCAGCAAGCCCACCTTTGGCCCAGGAGGATGCGGGTAACTGAGGGAAACCACCCTCCACTGACTTTATCTCCTCTGGACCAAGCTTAGGTCTGGTTACCCTGCCCGCCCCTGCTGCCCGCTACGGGTCCCTCACCCCACTCACAGCTCAAGGATGAGCACCACATCCGTGCGGTTCTCGAAGACGTCGTGCAGTGTGATGACGTTGGGGTGCAGCACCTGCCGCAGGATGCTCACCTCCCGCTCAATCTCCTCCCGGCACACGCCCCGCCGGCTGGCCCGGCTCTGCCGCTTCTTGATGAACTTGGCTGCGTACTCCAGCCCCGTGCTCTTCTCTCGGCATTTCTTCACGATGGCAAACTGGCCGCTGTGGGGACACAGACCCACACAATTAGGGTGTCCCTGTGGCCAGTGGGGAAGTGACCTGGCTGTCAGCCCCCAGGCCGCACTAATTCACAGTCATTCTGCCAGGACAGGACAAAACATGCCTCCAGCCAGCATCGCCACCTGGCTGTCAACCAGCGACTGAGATGGGGCAGGTACTGGGCTTCCCTTCTGTTCTTACGAATCCTTTGCCTTTTACTGGGAAGGAAGGTGAGTGCTGTCACTCCCAGCGTACAGATGTGAACACTGAGGCCCTGAGAGGTGACTGATTTGATCAGGATGACATAGCCTCATCGTTCCAAAGCGTCCGCTAGAACCCAAGTCTAGTATCCACCAGAAAAAATCACAATGTCCAGAGGCTTTATACTATTTAATGAAAAGATTAAAAAAGAAAAACAAAAAAGATCAGCACAGTCAAAATACTAACAGTAACAATCATCCCTTTGGGTCTCCCTTATCTGGAAGCAAGTACAAATTCATCTATTTGGAATTGTGAGGGGACAAAACACCTACATATTCTCATGTTTGCAGCTTTGCTCCCACCTCGTCCCAACAAATGAAATCTCAATTACCTGAAATGAGCCAAGCAGCTAGACAATAGAGGGACAGAACAAATATGATGAGGATGCACTTCACGTAAAGACAAGGCCAGAGGCTGCGCCAGCGGGGTCGGTGAGGATCCTGGCAGGGGTGGGGGTGAGAGGGAGGCAGCCTTACACTGTTAATGACACAGTGGGAGTTCGTCACGGTGAGAGGGCTGATATGACCACAGAGTTGTAAAATGTTAGGAAACTGAGGCACAGGAGAGGTCAACTGAGTCGCCTGAAGTCATCAGAGAGTTAACAGCAAAGCCAGGCCCCAGAGCTGGGGGCCCAGCCCACAGTACACAAACCCGCTAAGACAGTTACAGGAGTCAAGACTATGCTTAGTGCCCTTCCAGGCTGGCCTGGCAATCCTTCACTCCAGGGACCTACACAGCAATCATGAAATAGTGTCAGTGCCAGAGTAGCAGGTGGCCCTGAGCCAGCTTCCCTGAGTGCTGCAAGGGCAGCAGACCCCACAGGGAAGGGCAGCTGACCCCACAGAGAAGGGCAGCAGACCCCACAGGGAAGGACAGCTGACCCCACAGGGAAGGGCAGCAGCCTTCTGCTTCACCTGAGAAGAGCTGAGAAAGCTCTAATTCCCAGGAGACTGCCCAGTGGCTGCCCCTCCTGGGAGTGCTCCCACCCCCTTCCACCATTGCCCCATGTTTTCTTGCCACCCACAATACCCACTGCTTGGGATAGAACTTGGAAAGCGATAAGGTTCAGTTTAATGGCTTAACAAGGCGCCACCAGTCTCCACACTTAGGATGTACTCTCTTAGTGACTCTGGGCTAAGAGTTACACACAATGAAATGCTCTGGATATTTGCCTTAACCTCAGAAAATAGCATTGCATAGGAACCTCTCCATTACTAGAATAATCCTAAGTGAGACAGCCTTCAAAATAAACTTTAAAAAAAAAGGGGGGGGGGGCCAGCCCGGTGGTGTAGTGGTTAAGTGAGCGCGCTCTGCTGCGGCGGCCCAGGGTTCACAGGTTCGGATCCCGGGCGTGCACTGACGCACCGCTTGGCAAGCCATGCTGTGGCGGTGTCCCATATAAAGTGGAGGAAGATGGGCACAGATGTTGGCGCAGGGCCAGTCTTCCTCAGCAAAGAGAGGAGGACTGGTATCGGACGTTAGCTCAGGGCTGATCTTCCTCACACACACACAAAAAAGTCAAGTAGAGCAAGCAAGGAATGAATATGCCAAAACTTAAATAGCATTCTATGGCAACACCTAGAGATATCACCAAACACACATTCGGGTATCTCTCCACCCCCTCATCTTCCATTCACTCGATGCTGCCTGAGCGCCTACTCTGTGCCAGGCTCTGTGCTGGGCATGAAGTGGCAGGGAGCAAAGGAGAGACAACAGATACACATGGAGCTCCTGGGAGGGAGAGGGCCCTGGGGGCTGGGTTGGGCTGGGAAGGCTTTGTGGAGACAAACTTATATCACATGGTCTACTAACTCTAAAGTTGCAGCTATTTATGCCCCAAATATTAGCTCTGGGCTGTCCACACACTAGGGGCTGACACAGGTGGAGTGAAGCCAGGCCTCCCAAAGCCAGAGTGAACACATTCAGTGAGATCTCTCACACAGCTGGTCACTTCGAGCCACTTTGGGCCTCAGGGACATCGGGTCCCTTAGTGGGTGCCAGAAAATACTTGACAGAGCTTCCAGTCCCAGATGGCTATGAGACTCAGCGTCAGGATGACCATGTTCCCCTCCTCTTTCTCTATCACCTCAAAGAGCAAGAGGCTGCATCAGCAGCCCTGAGGACAGACAGGGCTCGCTCTTTCTAGTTGACCAACGTGGAAACCAAAGCTGAAGGTTTTTAAGCGATTTATTGAAGCCTACAGAGCAGAGGTGGAGGTGCAGGGTTTTTATAAAGCAGAGCTAAATATTTCAGGTCACCTTGACATAGCTTCCCCTTTTCTTATGAGGGAAATGGAGGCATTTTTGTATACCACATGCCTGAAAAATTCCTGAGACTCTCAAAAAGCAAATGAGTGTTTGCTTTTCTGGTTGAGTTTTCTCTTTATGAGAGCAGCTGTGGCAATGAGAGGCGACTGGGGGTCGGGCCTAACGTGCAGACGTCTTCCTCCCGCCAAAAGGAGGTATTTTGAGAGTGGGTGATTAACATGGAGCCAAATACCAAGCAACACCGCTCATCTCCCCTCACTTCATGGGGAAGGGGTCCTCCACTCATCCTGCCCTGGGAGCCTCAAGGAGAGCCAAGGCCACCTGCTGGTTTTCCCTTCTCCTTGGGCCATTAATTGAGAAGAGTAGAGAAGATGCTCCACTAGGGCCGGTCCCTGGGCCGGGAAGCTTTGGGCATCAAGAGCAGCCTTCAAAGTCAGACAGACCTGGCCTTGGGAAACTTCTGCTGTCACTGGAAGTTCGACCTGGGGTAAGTGGCTACCTACTCGGAGCATCAGTTTCCTCCTCTGTAAAATGGGAATCATGATCCCCTACTAGGGAATTGTGAAGACTGGAAATATCTGTAACGTTGGCCCACAGCACTACTAAATGGTAGCTATTATGACTGTTATTAGTTTATTGCTCATGTGAAGGCCAAGCAAGAAGCACCAGACACAGAAGTCACTGATTTAAATGGTCTGCAATGTGTGGCTAGGGAATCAGTGTGATTCCCTCCCTCCCCCCTGATGATTTCAGTGCCCAGCCAGATATGGGAATATCTTTGTTCTAAGCAATTAACCTAGTCTTCATCCTTAGAGTAGTGGTTCTCAACTCTGGCTGCACACTGGAATCACCTGGGGAATTTTAAAACTACTGGTGCCTGGGTCCCATCTCTAGAGATTCTGATCTCCTGGGTCTGGGCTGCAGCCTGGGAACTGAGATATTTGAAAGCTTCCTGTGGGGCTGGCCAGGTAGCATGGTGTTAAGTTCACATGCTCTGCTTCGGTGGCCCGGGGTTCTGATCCCGGGCGTGGACCTACATGGCTCATCAGGCCATGCTGTGGTGGCGTCCCACGTGCAAAATAAAGGAGGTTAGGCACGGGTGTTAGCTCAAGGCCAATCTTCCTCA